GGCTGGACCAGGGCGGGGCGCTGATTGGCGGCGAGCGGTGGGCTGGGCCAGGTTCCCTCCTGCCCCTTTCTTCCCTGCCTCGCTCCCCCCCCCTCCCTGCCTCTCTTTGGCCGGGCTGATTGATGCAGTGGAAGCAGCAGCGGCGGCAGCACCAGCTCCGGCTGACCCGCGCATGCAGAGAGGGCGCCCTTTTGCAGGCGACCGAGCCGGCCGGGAGGGAGCCTTTGTCGGGGGAGGGAGCCGCTTCGGGTGCAAGCCGGGGGAGCCGAGAGGAGCCCTCCCGTGACCAGACCTCACCATGAGCACAGGCATGCGCTACAAAAGCAAGCTGGTCAACCCAGGTAAGGGGGTGTGCGTGCTGCTGGGGCTGACGGGCGGCCCCAGAAGGGGGGCTCCGTGCGTATATTGCGCCTCTCTTCTGATTCCTCTCCCTCTCTCTCTTTTTTTACTCCCCTTCTCCTGGATCTCCTCCTGGGCATCTTCTTGCTTGCTCTCCAATGGATTCCGACCCCTTGCAGAAGAAAAACAGGTACAGTTGGTCTTATTTCTCTCTCTCTCTCCGGGTTGGAAATCCTGCCCAGGGGGAGGAGGAAGCCGGCCGTGGCTGCTTAAACCAAAGGTGCTCTTTCTTCCCCATAGACAGCCCTTCCTTCCCTGGTGATGAATCTTGCCGGGTTGTGGCTGTACAGGCAGGTGGCATCCCTGTGAGATTTGGACAGGGCAGAACCTCTTTCCTCATTCTGCTGTTGCTAGAACGAAGACCTCTGGGTGGATCCGGTGGTGCCAGTCTTTCTCTGCTGTCCAGCACGTTTTTCAGGCCAGAGGCTTGCTTTCCTTCTGGTCCCTGGGCCCATATCGGTGGGGAGCCTCCCCTGTCATCCTGAAGATGCAGGGAGGCCTTGGCCAGGCCGACTCGGTAGTGGCAGCTGCTTCAGTATTATAAGCACGTTCCGGGCTCGCCTTCTTTGCTTCCTTGTTGATGATCTTCCCCTCTTCAGCATCCCTCATGCTCACAGAGAGACATCTGTCTCAATTGTGTGCCTGCGTGTGTGTGTGTTCTCAGGGGAGAGGTCTGTTTGTATGAGGTTGGGAAAGGGTGATGTAATTTAGACGGCACCAGGAGGGATTATCCGCCCGGGACTGAGGGGTTTGTGTTTGTGTCCATTTGGTAAGCAAATTCATCTTAAAAAGAATATCGGAAACAAATGCAGATTGGGGTTTAGGTGTTTGGCGTTCTCCGCTGGGCATCTGTTTTAATAACGGGAAGTGTTTTTTCATTCTCTCTTGCATCTGGGCAGGGAGTGCACCAGGGCTGCGTTTGGTTGGCGTGAATCATCCCTGTTGGGAGATAACAGCAGCCGGAGGTGAAGGGATGAGCTTGCTGTAGGAGAGGATCAGTTGGACAGAGAATATGGTGAAGCGATAGAAAGAAATAAAACTTGTGATTATTTGCTGGAGATAACGAAAGGTGGACTGTGCTGTGCTCATGTGCGTTTGTGACAATAAGGATTTCCCTTTTGCAAAGAATTGTCAGCGTCTGTGGAAGGGAGTAAACAAGACTGCCAAGTGTTGTGAATCATGTCTGAGGGAAGATACAGCACGGGAGTCGGAGCAGGGAGGCTGTGGATACTTGCAGTTATCACTGACTGTTCTGCAGTGGTTTCCCCCCTTGTAAGATGAGCAGTGAATAGGTTCAGTAAGATGCATGCTGTTTGCCTCAGTTTCCCAATCTGTGAAATGGGAATCGTACCGATCTGCCTCAAACTGCTGTGGCTATCGTATATTTGTGGATAGAGAAGAACGTAAGAAGAACCCTGCTGGATCAGACCGGTGCAGACCCGTAGCCAGGATTTCCTTTTTCAGGGGGCATTTAAATTTCTTAGGGGGCACCAAGTTGATAACATTAAAGCTAGTTAAATGAACTGCCCCTTCTCCCCCCCCCCCCGGGAAGGCAGGCAGGTGGGAAGGCAAGGCAGTGGAGGAGCGTGCCAGTGTGCTCGCCTGCTCTGAGAGCGGCCAGCCAAAGCGAGCACAGCCGACCCGCCAGCTCGGGACCCACATCCCCTCCCCTCAGCTGCCAGCCGAGGATGGAGCTGGCGGGGCTGCTGGCAGGTGGGGAAGTCGCTTTGAGCAAGTCCCACTTGGGGAAGCGGCAGCGTGGGGAGGCCCAGAGAGTCAGGGGCCTGGGCCGAAGGGAAACTCATGGGGCCTTGGTAGGAAGTCGGGGGGGGGCAGGCCCCCAAATGTCTGACTGTAGCTACAGGCCTGGACCGGTGGTTCATCTGGTCCAGCATCCTTTCACACGGTGGTCAACCGGTTCCTCTGGAGGGCCAACAGCAGGGAGCGGAGGCCAAGACCTTCCCCTGATGTTGCCGCCTGGATGGTTTAGGCTTCCTGGAATAGCAAACCTGTATGAGCATGTACAGGAGCTGCGGTGGCTCAAGTGGTTAAGGCGCTGAACTGCAGGCTGTGGAAGGTCGGTAGTTCAGCAGTTCGAGACCCAAGTGTGCCGCATGACGGAGTGAGCTCCCGTCTCTAGTTCTAGCTCCTGCCAACCTAGCAGTTCGAAAGCAAGAAATTGCAAGTAGATAAATAGGTACCACTTTGGTTGGAAGGTAACAGTGTTCCGTGCGCCTTGGTGTTTAGTCATGCCGGCCACATGACCACGGAAACGTCTTCGGACAGCGCTGGCTCTTTGGCTTTGAAACGGAGATGAGCATCTTTACCTATGAGCATGTACAGTTACAAGTATAAGGTCATTCTGAATATATAAATTTACTCACTTCGCCTTTCGTTCCCATTTGCCAGTGGCTTGTGTATGCTGCATTTTCCAGAACCTTTTCCCTCATTTCCGAGTGCCTGATTCATTCTAAGCCTTCCCTTCCTGATATTTCTGATGTCCACCCTCATGCTATTCAGGAAAAGAACCTTAAGCTATTGAAGGCGCTAAGACTGGGACAGAGAAAAGCATCTCCACGTTCTGGGGTTGCGGCTCGCTTTGTGGCTTTCTACATCCTGACGGGTCATGTGGTGCTTTGGCCCGGAGACACATGACACAGATCTTCTGGGCGATGTGGGTTAGCGTCGTCAAACATTTTGGAAGACAACTGGGAAGTAAGTGTCAGGGATGCCAGTCCAGTGGAACAGTGTGTGCTTTGTATGCTGGGTCTTCTCATTTCAGTTCCCAGTGTCTGCAGTCAAAGGATCTTGACTAGCAGGCATTGCAAGCCGTGAAGAATAAACATCAGTCAGTATCAGTGGTGCTAAGGCTGTAGACGTAGGTTTGATGCTAGAAGGCAGCTTCGTATGGACTCCTTATTGGCTGTGTTGGATGCTTGGCAAGGGGTTATTGGCAGTGACTCCCAGCCTGTGCTCCCCAGCTCAGTTTGGTGTAGTGGTTAGGAGCACAGACTCTAATCGGGGAGAACTGGGTTTGATTCCCCACTCCTCCACATGCAACTGACCTTGGATCAGTTACAAGTTCTCTCAGAGCTGTTCTCTTGCGAGCGGTCCTCGAGAGAGCGCTCTCAGCCCCACCTACTTCACAGGGTGTCTGTTGTGGGGAGGGGGAGGGAAAGGAGATTGTAAGCCGCTCTGAGACTCTTTCGAGTAGTGAAGGGCGGGGGATCAACACAATCTCTTCTCTCTTCTAGAGAAATTTTCTCCAGTTGGTAGTGTGTGAGCGTAAAGTGCCGTCCAGTCACAGCTGACTTATGGCGGCCCTGTAGGGTTTTCAATCCAAGAGATGTTCAGAGGTGGTTTGCCACTGCCTGCCTCTGCCTAGCAACCCCAGCCTTTCTTGGTGGTCTCCCATCCAAATACTAACCAGGGCTGACCCTGCTTAGCTTCCAAAATCTGACAAGTTCAGGCTTGCCCGGGCCGTCCAGATCAGGGTAGTTGCAAGAGGTGCTGCTGAAGGCTTTTTTTCTACCTGAGGGCCTTGGAGAGCTGCTGCCAGTCTGAGTAGACAATACCACGCCGGATGGACCAAAGGTCCGACTTGGTATAAGTCACCTTTATGTGTGCAAATTAAAAAAAGGAACTGTGCTCCGGTAGCAGTGATTGGAAGAGTCTGCCTTGTGGGAAAAGCTGCGTGTCTGTCTTGTGGTCATCCGCTGAAGATGAGAGCAGAATGTGTGAGGAAGGTATCATGAGGGCCTAGAGCAGCTACTCCCGAACTGCTATGGGAAATAACCTGGTTAAAGATCCCTGGAGTCCCAAAGATCCCATCCACAAAAGAGACCATCAGCTGCATCTCTGCATGGATAAAATAAACAAAAGAGATTTGTCCCACTTTGGTGACGATTCCATATATCGTGGCATAAAGTTTCATGAGTCAGAACACACTTTGTGAGATGCATGATACATTGCATTCAGTTGGCCGAGACATCTGTGCCCCAAGCTGCAAGCAGCAGAAGTGAGCTATTTCAAAGGGCAACCGGAGTGCCCCGTTTCCTAGGACACAGTGTGTTGCATCACATTGCAGAGCACAGGTGAATCTTTGCACAGATGACTCCGCAACAGGAAAAGACACAGTGCAAGTGGAGACAGTGCTTAGGGTCCAAGTTTGACTCTTCCCAGTTTCTAGGTTTTAGTACTATGGAATCATTTGTATGCACAAAGTTCAACTGTTTGGAAAGGGGAACAACAAGGGGGGGATGACGGCTTGGATCGGGCAGTGCTGTGAGCGGAATGCACGTTTTCCTTGCACATTTCCCCTGCTTTGTCTCTTGAGTGACATTCCGGCAAGAGAAAAGTGAAAGTAAACCCAGAGATGTTCTTCCACCTATGCAAACAGAAGCATTGGAATCATTGTTTTTTAATGTCAAAGTCATAGCCAACTTAAGGTCAACCACATCGGGTTTTCAAGGCAAGAGATGTTCGGGGTTGTTTGCCATTGCCTGTCTCTGCATAGCAATGCTGGAATTCTTGGGTGGTCTCCCATCCAAATTCTAACCAGGGCTAACCCTGCTTGGCTTCCAAAGTCTGAAGAGATTGGACCAGCCTGATCTATCCAGGTCAGCATGAGTCATTATGGGAGCTCGTTCTTATAGGGCTTCATGAACTCCTGCAGTCCCTTTGCAGAACTGCATGTGTGGTTATTTTACCTCTCATCGTGCTTGTTTGGATCTGACCCTGTTGGATAAACTTGCTTTCTGACAGCCTTCTCGTACTCATGCACAACTGGTAGAAGTATGGCTGCATATCCAAACTGCTTTTGCTTCCATCTTTTCAAACTTGGAATGATGTCAGCTCCCCAGTATTTTGCATATAGCATTCTTGCAGTACATTCCTGTGTCTTATGGGGGTAATTTCGGGGTAAACAGGAAGAACTAATAAGGGTTCTAAATTCAGTCTTAATCCTGTAATAAAAATAATTCCATTTCATTTCAAAGCAGTGATGCAGCGTGGAAAAAGTTCTGTAATGGCAAATTTTCTACCACTCTGGTTTTTTGTGGAACATTTTCTGCATCTATAAAAGCGTTATTTCATTCCCGAAATTGGCCCCCCGACAGATCTGTACTATAT